ATCTCGCTATGATTTTCACTTGCATTCCCAGGAAATGCCTCATATCTTTTTACGTGCTTATTTGCCATCCAATCATATCTCTTCCTCTTGGGTGAAATGCCTGTTCTGTGTTTTGTCTATTTTGTATTTGGATATTTTTTAAAAAGATAATAGTTTTGAGAGTTCTTTCATATTCATATCTGATGTGTGGTTTGCTTATGTTTTCGCCCTGCTTCAGTCCTTGGTCCTTTCATCCTCTTCAGGTGTTTCACAGCCTAGGTTTTTAATTTTGAAAATTTCCAATGTCTCTATTTCTTTTTATGGATCACACTTCTGGTGTCAGATTTTAAAATCTCTTTGCCCGACCCTAGATACCCATTTTTTTTTCTTGGAATATTTTCCTCTGAAGTGTGTTCTAGTGTTAAATTTTACATTAACGTGAGTGATCCATTTTGAATTTGTTTGTAGGAGGTGTGAAGTTAAGGTGTTTAGGTTAAGGTTTTTTTGTTTGCTTGCATGCTTGCTTTTGTGTTTTGTTGTGGATGTTCGATTGCCCATATCATAGAGAAGCCATTTTTTCTCCAGTGAATTGCTTTTGCACATTTGCCAAAAATCACTTGGGCTTAGGCATATTTGTTTGAATCTCTGCTTTGTTCCATTGATCAACGTGTCTAACTGCAAACATCACATGGTCTCTATCAGCTCTATAAATAAGCTTTAAATTATGGGCAACTTTATTCTTGGATTTTGAAATTGCTGTAGAGGTTCTAGTTCCTTTGCCTGTCCATCTATCTTTTAAAATAGAAATACATGTACTTAAAACACACACACACACAAAACCAAACCAAAGGAAATTCTACACCTTAAAAAAAAATTTCATGGAACAGTTCACCATCAACACTAACCTCATTTCAAACACACACAGTCTCTCTCTTTCATACTGTTGCATTGTACAGATATGCTGGAAGTTTATTTAGTAAAAGGCTATTAATCCTCCCCTGTTTTTTATGGTAAGTAATGATGAAATCAGTATTCTTATCACTCGATGTACATTAGCACCAGTGTTCCCCACATCCATTTTTTGTCTTTGAACTTTGTTATGGTCAATGCAGAGACAGATTTTGTTTAAACTTCTATGTGGTCAAGTTATAAATTATTTCCTTCATGTCTTCTGAGCTTTTTTTTTTTTTTTTTTTTTTGCTTTAGAAAGACCTCTGCTAAAAATGATAGAATTAAAATATTCGGGCAGTCCCTGGCAGTCCTGTGACTAGGACTCGGCACTTTTATTGCCAAGGACGTGGGCTCATCCCCCTGATCCGGGAACTAAGATCGCAAAGCCACACGGCTCAGCCAAAAAAAGGAAAAAAAAAAATTTCACCCGTTGTTCTCCATGAATCTTTGTATGGTTTTCGGTGTGCACTGCCTGCTGCAGAATTTTTCTAAGTCCTCCTGGGAACTCGCTGGTGCCATTCTGGGCAGCCCGAGTGACGGTCCCAGGCTGAGAGATGCGCTCCGAGGTAGGCCTGGACTAGTTCCAGCACCCCGGGGGGCCGGCGGTGCGCCCTCGTCGGTCCGGGATACGAATCCGCCCCGCTGACTTTGGCGCCGGTTGTCGGGCGCCATTTGGCAGCCACGTTTATATTGTCCCTTCCCTTCCGGAGCTCGGGCAACATCTTCAGGGGATGGGATTCGGCCGCGGTGCCTGCAGACGAGTTCCGGGAGGCCGGCGGGACTGGCGGGATCGTCCCGGTTCTGCCGGCCGGGCGCGCCTCGTGCTTCCTCCGGAGATTGTACCTGCAGACTAACGGGGAAGAGGCCGCGGCCGCCCGGCCAGAACGACCAGCCTCCGCCGGGGCTGCTCCGGCTGCTGAGGGGAGCTGGAGCGGGTCTCCCGGGTCTGGAGGTGGGAACCGGGCCAGACTAGGCTGTGCGGGCAGGCCCACGGAGGGCCCCACGGTCTAGGCAGTGGGCTCGCGTGAGGTTCCGGTAGGTGGACACCGCCCCACCTCTCCCTCCCGCAGCCAGGACACTGTGGCCGGCGGGCAGTGTGCGCTCTGCGTCGCGGGGGAGGCGGGAACTCGTGGGCGACTGTGGGCTGTTCGGCTGGTTCCTAAGGTCGTGCTGCACACCCTGGCTTCAAACCCTATGATTCCTCAGAGGTCTCCTCGCACCTCCTGACCCGCAGCCTCTAGGGTTGGGCGGGGGTGGGGGTTCCCCGCCAACGAAGTTTGTCTGACTCTTGGCGGCGGGGTCCCTCTGCTGGTGAAGTTATGAACAACGCCCCTAACTGAGAAAATTCACGTGAATTGCGGATTCTGGTGGTCACTCACAGCTTGAACTCACTTGTGGACCCGGCTTCCTCCTGGGGCTATGCCTCTCTGAGCGTTGCTTGACGATCCGTTGCTGTGGGGCGTAACTCCCGGGTGCGCGGCTGGCGGTGCTGCCACAGGGCCTATTGAACCACCTCTGGGTAAGGGGGCATCCCTCTCTTCTCCTTGGCAATTCGCTCCTTACTGCGTTTAACGGTTCGTGAGCTGGGCTCCCTATTGTGTGCTTCCCTTTGACAGGATGTGCTCTCAAAGTACGATGACCCCAGCCAAAAATATAACTCTTTTCTTCGAAATCTGAATCCTTGCAGTGGAACAGTGTCTTATCTGTGGCCCAGTGACATCTCTGACCTCTGCACTGGCCTTCTTTTCCTTGAACAGCTGAAAGTATATTCTGGCCTCAGGCATGTTACTATGGTGTTTCCTCCCACCCCCCCAAATCTCATGCCCTCATCTTCATCAAATGTGGGTTTGGAACATCCTTTACCCATGAGGCTTTTTAAAAAATAATAAATTTATTTATTTTTTGGCTGTGTGTTGGGTCTTTGTTGCTTTGCGTGGGCTTTCTCTAGTTATGGCAAGCGTGGGCTACTCTTCCTTGCAGTGCACAGGCTTCTCATTGCCGTAGCTTCTCTCACTGTGGAGCAGGGGCTGTTAGGCGCACAGGCTTCAGTAGTTGTGGCATGTGGGTGCAGTAGTTGTGGCTCACAGGCTCAGTAGTTGAGGCACACGGGCTTAGTTGCTCCCTGGCATGTGGGATCTTCCCGGACCAGGGATTGAACCTGTGTCCCCTGCATTGGCAGGCAGATTCTCAACCACTATGTCACCAGGGAAGCCCTACACATGAGGCTTTTTTCCAACCCCCCCCCAAAGTTTAATTTAGAGCCCAATCCCCTGCACTTGTTACTCTAAGTCAGCCTTTCTCCTTAGAAACTTTTATCCTATTAACAATTTTATTAATTTTCATAATTAAAAAAATTTTTTACAATAATGTGTGGCACACACAGTAGGGATTTTTAAGTAGGTGTGTTCAAAAGCGACAAATAAATGTTTTGATGTGTATTTCCCCCATTTTGGGCCAGTTTCATGAAGCTGGCTTTTTTCTTATTCTCCCTTCCAAGTTTCTACTGTGAAAGTTAAGAAACTTTGAGGGCTGAAGGAAATTCAACACAGCCATGTGTGGGGTTACTTCTCAGGTCTCAGCATCTTTTGAGGACTCTTCCCTGACACCAAGTAGTTTTCAGGGATTAGATGTTTTCCCCTAGCTAATCCTGGCTGACTAAATCCATCTATCAAATCCCCAGGGCACTTTTTAAAGCAAACATATAAAAACGTACGTTTTTCCCCCTTGTACTTTCCCAATCCCCCTTCCTCCTCATTCAAAGATATCACTGGATGGAGTTGAAGTTAAACTTTGTCATCGATTTATTATATATCCTGCCAAAGATATTGTGATTGGCTTAGGGATATTTCTTTTAACAAATGTTTATTTATCAAAATTCCAAGTTTCCCAAGTGAAGTGGATTTATACCTAATGGGAGGAAGAGTGTTTTAAAGAAAACATTCTAGGGTGATTAAAAATACTGTTAATGTGACAATAATAGAAATATTCCATAAGAAGTTTCCTATGTTTTTATGTCGGATTCTATTCCACTTTACCACTACAGTTAAAGTCTTGCAAAAGTCAGGGTTCAAATATTTCCCTTGGTGCACTTACTGTGCTTTACAAAAAATTACATACAGGTTGTGATTTTTTTCTGCTTATAGTTGTGGAGTGCTCTCTGAGGGGGTATACTTTTAGTACCACGTGAAGTGACAGGTTTTTTCACTCCTTTCAGTCACTTTTGAGGCTAGTATGTTCTGGTTCCCATCCTAGTGGCAGTAGTGACTCAGCTGGGAATGCCCAAGGCTTACCTGGAAAAGACACTTATACCTACACCAGGGCCAACCAACACTGTGGCTGGGCCACCCCTCGCAGTTATCTTAGTTTTTTGAAGTGCTTCCTACCTATGATCATGATAAGAGAACTGCAAGAGGTGGTAGGAAGCACTTCGAAACTATCAAGCTTGAGGAACATAATTCACAGAGCCTGGAGGGGCACCCTGGGGGCATGCGACAGTGAGGTTGTGGGTGCAGGGAGCATGCTGCCTTTGTTAGGGTCCACGGAAGGATGGGGGTGTTCCACGGTTTCACCCTTCCTTTGCAAATTTACACCAGAAGGGTTGGGAATTAGGGTGTAGGAAGGATAGTTCCTCACACTCTTGCACATACAGTACCTGAAAAGTTTCCTGGCTGTGTGGAGCTCTGGTAGTAAAAACAATGCCACAGATGTGCACCATCAAGACACTTCAACTTGCCCACCCTAATCTCTTCAAATTGGCGGGGTGGTCAGCATGTTAAAGTTTGAGAGACCCAACAAACAACATATAGAATGTTGCAAACATGTTGCAAACTCTAGTGGAATGATTGGGGAACTTCAGAGATGTAATAGTTACCTACCTATAGGTTAAGAGAGTTTATGAAACACAAAAGCTTTAAAGTGGGATGTCTGAGCACTGATATTGGACCTATGAAAGGCTTACATCTTAGAAATGGACTCTGAAGAGGTTTATGTGTTACATAATTCAGTAATATAGTGTGGCGAGATGCAACGTTACCCCTAACATGAACAAAACAAAGAGGCTTCATCGCCTGTGCCATTCCATTGTGTATATACATAAGGCTTTATTTGTAACAGCCGAAAATTGGAAACAAGCCAAAATGGCCATTAAACAGAAAAGTGGGTAAACAAATTGTGGTTCATCTAGACAGGATATAGTACTCAGCTATAAAAAGAATGAAGTATTTACATAAGCAAAGATTTATGAATCAGAAAATAATTATGCAGCATGGAGGGAAAACAATTTTTAAAAAGTAAACAAAATTCTATGAAACAAACTAATTTACTGTGAAAGAGTAAATCAGTAGTTGTGAGGGCAGAAAGAGATTTTAAAAGTGTATTCTCTGGTAGCCGAGGGGTTAGGATTCTGGGCTTTCACTGCCACGACCCAGGCTTGATCCCACAAGCGTGTGGTGTGGCCAAAAATACAAGGGAAGTAACTATGAATTACAGATATGATAACCATCAGCGTTATTTTTAATGGTTTCATGGTTTTTACACTATGTCAAAACTAACCACACTGTACAATTTAAATCAATTATATGTCAATAAACCTTTGTAAGAATTTGTTTAAATAGAAATCTAATTCATTTTTTTTCATAACCAGATGTTTAGAAAGCTTGGGATGCAGCCCTCCAACAGGGCAGAAAGTATTCATAAAGATCATTTCTGAGTTGGCAGGAACAGCTGCTAGGTCACAAAAACTGTATCTCTGGGCTTCAAGATCTCCCTTCTGTCTATTTTCATTTTCTTCTCCATGCAGCAGTATCCTTAGAGTGAGCAGCCCGGAGGCTACACAAATATACAAAGCTTTATATGCTCTGACAATGACTGCAGCTACAGGAAGAACACAGCTATGGCATGTACACCTCATCCAACACAATGTAGCCACAGTCACTGAATATTTGTGGAGGCACGTTTAAAAGAGGCACACCTCTCTCACTGCCACAGCCTCCTCCAGTGCATATGAATCACATACACTGTGTGTGAATTTAGGTTCCAGCCTCACCCCTGTCTTACAACCAACACCAGAAAACCCAACTCTAGACGTGAAGGCACGTGATTCCTTTGCAGTACCCGGGGAACAGCTTCCCCACATAGTGCTCAGCATTATGTGATATCCTTGGGAAAAGAGAACTGATTTATACTTCTCACAGAGGCACTAGAGGTGCTTCCTCCCTTGAAAATTACTCCTCCTTACTGTTCTGTAGAGAATGGGACAGAGACATCTGCCTTCCCTGATCACTGCAAGGGACATACATACTACTGGAACCTGGAAACTACTAAGTGGTAGAGATGAGGCTTCTGCCACAGAAACTGGAAGGAACATAATTCAGGCAACAGAGCCAGCAGTAGAATATGCAAAGAGGATCCTAAAAGCTTTCCACAAACCTAGAACTCCTGGGGAACCTTCCCACTCTGGATGCTCAGCTGTATAATGTTCAACGTCAAGCAGATGGCTCCCTCACAAAAACACTCTAGTTCTAGTACACTGAAAACCCATGTTCCCTGTAGGTCTCAGAGACCTTTAGATGAAGGTTTTCCCAACTTTGCTGCACAAATTTTATCCAGGCTGTGAACTTGTTTAATTACAGACCATTGGCTGTAACTGATTTTCTCCCAGTCACTGCATTCATGAGGTTATCTGGTGTGAAGTTTTCTGTGTTGAATGATGTGGGAGCTTTGACTAAAGGACTTCCCACATTCCCCACACTCATAAGGCTTTTCTCCTGTGTGTACTCTCCGGTGCTGAATGAGGTTGGACTTTTGGCTAAAGGATTTCTCACACTCGTCACACTTATATGGTCTGGCTCCAGTGTGAATTCTCTGGTGTTGATTAAGAGTGGAGCTGTGGCTAAAGGATTTCCCACATTCCCCACACTCATAAGGCCTTTCTCCAGTGTGAATTCGCAGGTGCTGCACAAGTTTGCATTTGTAGCTGAAGGATTTTCCACATTCACTACATTTATAAGGCCTCGCTCCACTGTGAATCTTCTGGTGCTGAATGAGGTTGGAGCTTTGGCTAAAGGAATTCCCACACTCACCACACTTATAAGGCCTTGCTCCAGTGTGAACTCTCTGGTGTTTAATGAGAGTGGAGCTGTAGCTAAAGGACTTCCCACATTCACCACACTCATAAGGCCTCACTTTAGTGTGAATTTGTAGGTGCTGCACAAGTCTTAATTTGTAGCTGAAGGCTTTCCCACATTCATTGCACTTATAAGGCCTTGCTGCAGTGTGACTTCTGTGGTGTTGAATGAGTCTGTAGCTTTGGCTAAAGGATTTCCCACATTCACTGCACTCATAAGACCTTGCTCCTGTGTCAGGTCTCTGGCAATTAATAAGGATGGAGCTTTGGTTAAAGGGTTTCTCACAGTCATAGTAACTTTCTCTAGTGTGAAGTTGCTCATCCTGAAAAAGTGTGTATTCATAGCTGAACAATTTCTCATACTCACTATACTTGTAATGACTTTTTCCGCTATGAAAGGACTCCCCACACCTGAAGCTGCTCTGTGGCTTTGCCCCTTTGAGAGTGGCCTGGTGCTGAAGAAGATTCAACATAGCCAGGAAGTCCCTCCCGACTTCTTCGCAGGTGAAGGTCTTCCCTGAAACATGGAACCTGTAGCTCGTCACAAATGAGGCCCTATCTATGTCCCTTTTGAATGGCTTCTCATCATTGTGCTTCTGGTGCTGGTGACTGTTTGGACTCAACCAAAATTGTTTTCCACATGCCTCACAGGGGTATGATTTCTGCCCAGGATGCAATCCTTGGTACTCAGGCAGATACAAAATGTCTCTCCCGGCCATGACACACTTCTCACAGGGGTGAGTCTTCTGAATGGATGGATCTGGAGTTGGAGTCTTGCCCAGTGACATTTGTTCTACAGAAACACTCTGCACAGAAAATGCTTCCTCATCCTCCATTCCATACCAACAACCTGAAAGCACAGAAATGCTGGTGAAATGCATGTTGTCTTTGGTGGTGGTGGGGCAGCCCCAACACAAATGTGTCAGACACACCAAAGAATGAGGCCATTGGATTGTTTTCAATATGAGGTTGATGAAAGAGCTGCTTTGCAGTACTGGGACTCTGAAAGCCCTAAGAAGTAGGGAGCCCTTGCAAGATGGAGGCTGTCAGGGTGGCATGCAGCACAGGAAGAAACATCTCCAATTCACTTCTCTGCCAACACCCTTCAGGAGGGCCTTGGCTGCTGCTGATATTTGAGTGCTATGTTCAAGTATCCAGGCCCAGGAAGATATGGTTGCAACTGACTACATGGTATTCACAGTCTATTTAATGATATGTGCATGCCTTGCAATACATTATGTGGGACCTAATCTTGGGGAACATTGTAGGGGGAAGAGTAGAGAAAAGGTGACACATGAAAGTAGAAAGGTGGGGACAGCCAGGGACCCAGAGAAGAATCAGAAGTTATAGAAGTGTCCACAGTAAGGAAGGAAAGGTAGAAATGAGGTGTGGTTACTGGCATCACCACCAACACACTGGTGGACACAGGACAGGTTCCATATGATCTGAATACAGTCTTGATGTCATGCCCTCCATCAGCTGCCATTCACCAAAGAGAGACCTGCTCTGAACCCATCTCGCCATGGCTGGAGTCATGTCCATCCCAGCACTCTTCTTTCTGAACCCCAGTTGAACAACTGCCTGGGACCTGAGTCCTAAGGCAATGACAGGATAGGTGATGGACTAGCATTGGCCCAGAGTAATTCTGCATATTATAAGAATAGCCCATGGGAATTCCCTCACAGTCCAGGGGTTAGGATTCTGCACTTTCACTGCCAAGGGCCCAGGTTCAATCCCTGGTTGGGGAACTAAGATCCCACAAGCCATGGGGCATGGCCAAAAAAAAAAAGCCCATCGTCCCCAAAGGTAGTCAACGTATTATCAATGGCAACTGCTGGCACAGACAGGAAGAATGTCAACAGAAAGGAGACAGAAAAACCTGGGCAGGAGCCATGGATCTGGACAGTTACCCAGCCAGGGAGAGGGCAAGTAAGGTGTGATCCATCAGGCTCACTGGGGCAGCACACCAGTGGCTGCAGTTTCAAGAAGAGGGAAGTCGCTCAGCCCAGCCCTGTCGACCACAGCACCCAGCCAGGGAACTGAGAAAGGAGACAGAACCTACTGTTCAATTGTGAGAAGATCAGAGTCTAGCCCAAGGTACTGGGATGGGTGTGAGGGCCTTACCCAGTGAGGTCACAAGTGCAAAGTTCTCCAGCATGACATCGTGGTACAGGCATCTCTGAGCCTCATCAAGGAGCCCCCACTCCTCCCAGGAGAAGTACACTACCACGTCTTCAAAGGTCACACTACCCTGCCATGATGGGGAGAGATGAAATCACAAAAAGCCTCTCTCCCAAGGACCCACAACCCATCATTCACACATCTACCCCATGCTTACCCTCCTCCCAAGCTCTCCAAATCGGAGGCGACACCAGACCCTGGTGCCACTGTCACTCTCTCCTCATGGTCCTGCCTGCAGGGCCCCACCAGCCCCCAGCCAGGCCATATCCCTGGGATACCCCAGAGCATACCTGCCAGGTACAACCAAATGTAGACTCAACCTGCACTCTTAAGTCCCTAATACCAAAGATGTAGAATCATCAGCTCATGCTCCCACTCTGTGTGCACATCTTTCTTAGCACCTCTTGCATCTGTGCACGCCATAAGTGCATCCCCACAGCCACAGGGATTCCATTTGTCTCCCCGTTACTCATCACACAGCATTGAGAGTGCCCTGCTACTACAGACCTCTGCAGGACCCCACCTCCTGCTAAGGCTACCACAACAAAGTACCACATAGTGGCTAGCTTAAACAACAAAAATTCATTTTCTGACAGTTCAAGTGTTGGCAGGGTTGGTTGCGTTTACAGCCTCAATCCTTGGCTTATTGATGGCTGTCATTTCCCTGTGACTTAACTTGGTCTTTCTTCTGTGTCTGAGACCAAATTTCCTGTTATTACAAGGACACTGGACATGTTGGATGAGGGTTCATATTAATAAAAAACCCTATCTCCAAACACAGTCACATGCTGAGTTACTGGGGATTAAAACTTCAACATAAGACTTTAGGGGGGGTCATAATTCCGCCTGTAACATGAGGCCGAGTAACTCACAGGTGTCCTATTCATCCCTAAGCTCATCAACCAGCCTTGGAGGATCCACAAAAGGTCACCACAAAATTCTGGTGAGTCAAGAATGGTGAATAAGCAGCAGCCCCATCCTCAGGGTCATCCTGCCTCAGTTACTCCTAGGCCTCTGCATTCACCTCATGTCCACTCTTCCCTTGGAAACCGTGGCTGCTAGATTATCCTCTCCTCCCTCAATGGCTACCTCTCTTAAAACATTTTACCTATGTCTGAGAGACCACTTCCTCCAACCTGGTGCCCAAGGAAGACACCCAGAATTGACACCTACTCTCTTCTTCCTGATTTGTTAATAATATTACCTCCAGAACAAGAATTCCCCTTCCTAAACGTGACAGAAAGCCCCACCCAATCCACCAAGCAGTCACCACCCATGTGTGTCTAATCCTGAACTCTGTCTCAAATTTCTAGACCTTTCTTTTCTGCAGCTAGATGGAACAGGTTAAGGCATGTGTAAGTTCACCTCCATCTTATGACCCAATCTCCCCCACTGCTCCTACCACCTCCAAAATCAACACCCACTTCTCAGGGAGACATTCCAGGCCTGAGTCCTGCCTCCCTACTCTGTTCTCATCAGAAGAAGACTTACATTTCCCTGAATATTCCCAGCTTGGCCTCACCTTCAAGCATCTGGCACATACTGGTACCTATGCCCTTGACGACTTTACTAATTTCTGGAATTGTGAACACCTCCATATAACCTCCAGCCTCGGTTGACGTTTCTCCAGGGTCCCAGACTAAGCTGGGAGAATGGCAGGTGAAGGGTCCCATGATACCACAACCCCAGATACCACATGCATAGGGTCATGATCAGTGAGACCCTGGGACACCCCCCCCCCACTTACTTGTGTAGATTCTAAAAGCACTTCAACTGTTATGGGAACCACTGGGCAGAGGTCAGTGGAGGCAGGCAACCATGCTGGAGCTCAGTGGGCTCTGGTCTCCATTATAGCTCTGCTCACCACTGGAGCAAAGAGACCTCAGGCTGTCTAAACTCTGGGGTTCAGTCCTCAGTGCTGACTCTTAGCGGCTATGTGACCTGCACAAGGACTCCGTCTCCCTGTGCTTCACTGTCATCAAACCTCTCCAGTCTGTTCTTCCTTTAAAAATCCTCTTGGAAAACTTCATTTGTCTTCTTTGTTGAAATTCCCCATGGTTCCCAGGGCCTTCAGAATGAAGAAACAACCCCCTGAGCCTGCCAATCCAGGGGCCACTCAATCTCAATGCTCTGTTCCCTAAAGAAATAGGTTTCCCGAATCCTCCGACCTCCAAACCTATACACCTGCTGATCCCTCCACCTGTGACCCTCTCCCATGCACCATCACACTGTCTGTCAGAAACAGAGCCCCAGGCCCCCACCCATGGCCGCCTCACCATCCTGGACACTGGGGCCTGGGCTGCGGGCACAGGAGCAAGCGCCCCACACTCGGGGCTTTAGTGTCTTGTGGAGTGAGGGTGGTGAGGGCCTGGAGGACGAGCGTTTACCTGAGGCGTGTCCCTCAGCACTGCCGCCGCCATCGGAGTCTGTGGGTGGAGCAACCCAGTGCTTCAGATCCGACTCTGTACAGCAAGGACAATTCCTCTTGGTCGTGTCTCCTCTTTAATTTGGTCACCTCGGACCAGACACAGAGCTGTGGAACCTCTGAGTAGGAAACAGACTGCCACTAGGAGAATGCCGGAAATCCCGCCTTGACACGATGGCACACATGGAAATGCCCCAGTCCTGGACCTTCATTGGCTCCACACTGACGTGAATTTGTTGGCTCAGGGTCCTCTGGTCAATGTAGTTCTCACAGCAGTGAATAAAACACTGAATTAAAGAGTAAATAAAACACTGAATTAAAACAGTTAATAAAACTCCTCTGTATATTTTATCTACTTAATGAGTTTAAATAGATGAAGATATAAAATCTTTAAGGATATTTTGAGGTATTTACTTTTTTGGCCATGGCTTGCAGCTTTTGGGATCTTAGTTCCCCAACCACGGCTGGAACCCCGCCCTTGGCATTGAAAGCACAGAGTCCTAACGATTGGACCACCAGGGAACTCCCTTGAGGTATTCACTCTTGAATTGAGCTGCCAAAGATCACACCCCCTTTCTGTGAGAATGATTTAGTGACAGTGACTTGTTAATCTACATGTATATAAATCATTTGGTATGAAAGATGCTAAGAAGTTCTAACTAAAAATACCATGTAAACTGACAAGGGACAAGCACTCCCTACAAGTGCGTGTGCGTTCACAAACAATTGTGTGACTTCATAAGCACTAAGAACATTTCCAAAATATGTGAATTCTTGAAAAAATACAATAACTGCACCAAGGAAAACTTTTGGGATCTTGATTTAGAAAACATTACAAAGCTCATAATTTTCTTGGGGAAACAACAGGTTTTATTTTTCACGTAATGGAGCCCTATTTAAAGGACCATCTAGGTAAGCCACTAAGTGCTTACACAGAGCCTCTGAAGACTGAATACATTAGATAAACCCCACAGAGAAAACATTCAGATCCTCAGTTGATGAGATGATAAGACTCTCCCTGCAAAGAAGCAACTCTTACTATGAGAAAGAGTGTTTCTTCTGAATTTATCAGATACAAAGGCAGGGGACCAAAATATGCCACATTGGCATAGGGATTATCTTGAGCTGGAGGCAGATAAGAATCAACACATGCAGAAAGACATCTTCCAAGAACATCCTTTGGAGGAATGAGGAGTCAGACCTGAGCTCCCCAAGACCTGGCTCTACTCAACAGCCTACAAACTCTAGTGCTGGATACCTCAGGCCAAACAACCAGCAAGACAGGAACACAGCCCCACTCATCAAAAAAAAAAAAGAAAGAAAGAAAGAAATGACAAAAAAATATATGTCACAGACGAAGGAGCAAGGTAAAAACCTACAAGACCAAATAAATGAAGATGAAATAGGCAACCTATGTGAAAAAGAATTCAGAATAATGATAGTAAAGATGATCCAAAATCACGAATTGAGAAAATAGAAGAAATGTTTAACAAGGACCTAGAAGAACTAAAGAGCAAACGGGATTCCCTGGTGGCACAGTTGTTGAGAATGTGCCTGCCAATGCAGGTGACAGGGATTCGATCCCTGGTCCAGGAAGATCCCACATGTCACGGAGCAACTAAGCCCACAGGTCACAACTACTGAAGTCTGTGCGCCTAGAGCCCAAGCACCACAACAAAGAGTAGCCCCTGTTTGCTGCAACTAGAGAAAAGCCTGAACACAACAACAAAGACACAATGCAGCCAAAAAAATAAATTAAGTAATTTTTTTAAAATAAACTGTCTTGCAATGCAGGGGATGCTGGTTCGATCCCTGGTTGGGGAACTAGGATCCCACATGCTGTGGGGTAACTAAGCCCGCACGCTGCAACTACTGAGCCACACACTCAAGCCAGCATGTCACAACTAGAGAGAAGGCTGTGTGCCAAAAATAAATATTTTTTTAAAAGAAATGAAAAGGAGAAATTACAACTGACACCGCAAAAATACAAAGGATCATAAGAGACTACTACAAGCAACTCTATGCCAATAAAATGGACAACTTGGAAGAAACGGACAAATTCTTGGAAACATACAGCTTTCCAAGACTGAACCACGAAGAATTAGAAAATATAAACAGACCAATCACAAGTAATGAAATTGAAACTGTAATTAAAAATCTTCCAACAAACAAAAGTCCAGGACCAGGTGGTTGCACAGGTGAATTCCAACAAACATTTAGAGAAGAGTTAACACCTATCCGTTTCAAACTCTTCCCCAAGCCCATTCTACGAGGCCACCATCACCCTGACACCAAAACCAGACAAAGGTATCACAAAAAAAGAAAATTACAGACCAATATCACTGATGAACAGTGATGCAAAAATCGTAAACAAAATACTAGTAAACAGAACCCAACAACACATTAAAAGGATCATACACCATGATCAAGTGGAATTTATCCCAGGGATGCAAGGATTCCTCAATATACACAAATCAATGTGATACACCATATTAACAAATTAAAGAATAAAAACCATATGATCATCTCAATAGATGCAAAAAAAGCTTTTGACAAAATTCAAAACTCATTTATGATAAAAACTCTCCAGAAAATGGGCATAGAGGGAAACTACCTCAACATAATAACAATCATATATGACAAACCCACAGCAAACATCATTCTCAATGGTGAAAAGCTGAAAGCATTTCCTCTAAGATCAGGAACAAGACAAGGATGTCCACTCTTGCCACTATTATTCAACATAGTTTTGGAAGTCCTAGCCACAGAAATCAGAGAAGAAAAAGAAATAAAAGGAATACAAATTGGAAAAGCAGAAGTAAAACTGTCACTGTTTGCAGATGACATGATCTGTACATAGAGAATCCTAAAGATGCCACCAGAAAACTACTAGAGCTAATCAATGAATCTGGTAAGGTAGCAGGATGCAAAATTAATGCACAGAAATAGAAATTTTGGAAACACTCCCATTTACCATTGCAACGAAAAGAATAAAAGACCTAGGAATAAACCTACCTAAGGAGGTAAAAGACCTGTACTCAGAAAACTATAAGGCACTGATGAAAGAAATCAAAGATGACACAAACAGATGGGGAGATATACCATGTTCTTGGATTGGAAGAATCAATATTGTAAAAATGACTATACTACCCAAAACAATCTACAGATTCAACGCAAAGCCTATCAAATTACCAATGGCATTTTTCACAGAATTAGAACAAAAAATGAATCAGACTCCCTGACCTCAGGCTACACTACAGGGCTACTACGGTAATCAAGGCAGTATGGTACAGGCACAAAAACAGAAATATAGATCAATGGAACAGGACAGAAAGCTCAGAGATATACCTACACACCTATGGTCACCTAATCTATGACAAAGGAGGCCAGAATATACAATGGAGCAAAGATGGCCTCTTCAATAAGAGTTGCTGGGAAAACTGGACAGCTACATGTAAAATAATGAAATTAGAACACTGCCCAACACCATACACAAAAATAAACTCAAAATGGATTAAAGACCTAAATGTTTGACCCACCTCCTAGAGTATTGAGAATAAAAACAAAAATAAATAAATGGGACCTAATAAAACTTAAAACCTTTTGCACAGCAAAGGGAACCATAAACAAGACAAAAAGACAACCTTCAGAATGGGAGAAAATATTTTCAAATGAAGCAACTGGCAAAGGATTAGTCTTCTAAATATACAAACAGCTCAAGCAGCTCAATATCAAAAAAAACCCAATCAAAAAAAACCCAATCAAAAAATCGGTGGAAGACCTAAATAGACATTTCTCCAAAGAAGACAAAGATGGCCAACAAATACATGAAAAGATGCTCAACATCACTAATTATTAGAGAAATGCAAGTCAAAACTATGATGAGGTATCACCTCATAGTGGTCAGAATGGCCATCATCAAAAAATCTACAAACAATAAATGCTAGAGAGGGTGTGGAGAAAAGGGAACCCTCCTACACTATATGGAGAAGAGTATGGAGGTCCCTTAAAATACTAAAACTACGGGCTTCCCTGGTGGGACAGTGGTTGAGAGTCCGCCTGCCAATGCAGGGGACACGGGTTCGTGCCCCAGTCCAGGAAGATCCCACGTGCCACGGAGTGGCTGGACCCGTGAGCCATGGCTGCTGAGCCTGCACATCCGGAGCCTGTGCTCTGCAGCAGAAGAGGCCACAACAGTGAGAGGCCCGCATACCACACACACAAAAAAACAACAACTAAAACTACAACTACCATATGACACAGCAATCCCACTACTGGGCATATACCCTGAGAAAACCATAATTCAAAAAGAATCATGTACCCCAATGTTCATTACAGCACTATTTACAATAGCCAGGACATGTAAACAATCTAAGTGTCCACTGACATTTTATCTATGAATGGATAAAGAAGATGTGGTACACACACACACACACACATATATATATATATAAAATGGAATATTACTCAGCCATAACCAGGAATGAAAGTGGGTCATTTGTACAGATGTGGATGGACCTAGAGTGTCATACAGAGTGAAATCAGAAAGAGAAAAACAAATATTGTATATTAATGCATGTATGTGCAATCTAAAAAAATGGTACAGATGAACATAATTCTAGGGCACAAATAGAGATGCAGACATAGACAATGGGTGTGTGAACACAGAAGGGGAAGGGGGCGGTGGGATGAACTGGGAGAGATTAGGTTTGACATGAATACACTACCATGTGTAAAACAGATAGCTAGTGGGAACCAGCGGTATAGCCCAGGGAGCTCATATAGCACAGGGAGCTCATATAGCACAGGGAGCTCATATAGCACAGGGAGCTCAGCTCGGTGCTCTGTGATGACCTATATGGGCGGGGCCTAGGAGGGAGGGAGGGAGGGGATATATGTATACATAGAGCTGACTCACTTGTACAGTAGAAACACAACATTGTAAACTAATTATACTCCAATTTAAAAAAAAAAGGTAAAGGAGCAGATTCAGAGCCCTTCCCTTAATAATTAAAGAACTGGGGTTATTTAAAAAAAAAAATTCAAATCAGCATGGGATTTCTACCATCAAACTCCCAAAACCTGAAAAAGCCATAGGTTACTTTAGAGTAACATCTTTGAATAACTATTTACACAATAGTTTCGTTAGGGAACTGGTGACAAAAACCACCTGCCTTGGCCAGGCCCGCTTGCCTGAGCTGTCTCACAACAGGAGGTTTTGATAAGGAACAAGGTGCAGCAGCAGAAAGCTAACCCGAAAACTAACCGGGAGGGGCCAAAAGAGGGAGGAGTCGACCAACCTCCCAGAGCCCTTCTCACTGGATCCATCTTGGCTGAGAGATGTGTGAGCCACGAGGAAGGACCCTAAGTCAGACTATGGGCCAAGCGAGGTGACTGGCCAGAGACAACCTGGAAGCTAACCCCGTCACCATAAAACCTGAGACTGTGAGCCACGTGGCAGAGCAGTTCTTCCTGGGCTCCCTCACCCTGCCGCTCTCTGCCCGGGCATCACTTCCCAATAAAGTCTCTTGCTTTGTCAGCACATGTGTCTCCTCGCACAATTCACTTCCTAGTATAAGACAAGAGCCCACTCTTCGGCCTTGGAAGGGTTCCGCTTTCCTCGACAGTTTCTTTTGTATCCTACAACTACTATGAGTTATTTTAATTATTATTCAATAGTGGATGCAAAATTCCCAACAGATTAACTGACATAGTTTATAAGACTTAAAACATAAAAAGAAAAATTTATTAAATACACGATTGAATGTCCTGGAGGGAACTTAGAGCCCAGAGGCCGTATTTGGAAAAAAGGTGTTTGCCTTACCCAGCACACAAACAGAACTTAGAGACAGGGTTGTCACTGCTAACCAGCACAAAGGGACAAAAAGTTGAGAAACAAAGACGCAAGTGAAGAAACGTTTTCATCAGCCAACAGCTTGGGTTTACAACTAGGGCCATCTAAAAGGACAAAATAGATGTGAATAAGTAAAAAAGCCAAACATGCTCACCAGGATCAGGATGGTGCATGTGGTTCTGGCTTCATAGGAAGGTCCAGAAGAAGGTCTATTGCTGAGAATGTATTGGACTTACTGCTTGTATCTGTAAAGAACAAAGACAATAGAGTCATTAGCCCAGACCGCAAGGCTCAAACACATTACATCAATATCACAGATATAGACGATATCTCCTCTCAATCTATCTGGAATATCCCAGGAAGATATGCATATGTTTCCCCCCGCCCCCATACTTCTGTTTCTGCTCCTCGCTACTATCACAGGAATGTTAATATATACCAGGAGTTTCAGGATACAGTCGAGGAAATAGGAGAAGCCAATGTACTCAGTGGATGGAGCTAAGAATTTGATCCCCAAAGAGGTACTGGGACAAAGGTTAATGGCCTAGAAACTACTCAGGAAGCAAGTCATGCTGGGGGAAAGCTCCATGCCCTTTCTGTGTAAACAGAAGACATGTTGACTTCCAGCATCATTCAATCCAAAACATGCCACTGGTAGATGATCCCTTTAGAGAAAGAACCAACTTGCTAGCAAAGACCAACTGACCCACAGAGGTCTCAACCCATGCCCCAATTTGAGTTACAAAGCTATAAAGAGTGAGGAATCTCCAAGGATCCCAACCCAGTCTGAATGAAGATAATATGCAAAGTAATGTTAGTAGAAACTACTCCATCAATTTAGAAAGTATGTTAGAGACTGATTTTATTTGAATCTACCAGAAAATTGATTTGCTCACATAGCAAATTGTTTTAATTTAACAACAAGAGCAAGTCTTTTGTAATAACAAAGCTATTTAGTATCGATTGTTTCATAATAACAAAGATTAATCAACGTAGTATCTATCAATGGGAGACTGAATAAATCATGCTGCATCCTCATAATCAGGGAAGCCCCAGAGTTCTTTTAAATTGGACAATGCCCCTGGTCACACAGAAACCAATGAGTTCAACACCAAAGGCCTTAAAGTGGTCTACTTACCCCAAACACATGCCTCTAATTCAGCCTCTAGATCAGGGGATCATAACAACCTGTAAGCCTCATTACATACAGTACTCTATAGAAAGATTATCAATGCTATGGAAGAGAATCCTGATAAAGAAATCATCATGGAAGTTGGGAAGGTTTACACCATTGAAGATGCTATTGTTGCTATAGAAAAAGCTGTGAAAGCCATAAAGCTTGAAACAATAAATTCATACTGAAGAAAACTGTGTCCAGATGACTTCACAGGATTTAAAACAAAGCCAAGGGCTTCCCTGGTGGCGCAGTGGTTGGGAGTCTGCCTGCCGATGCAGGGGACACGGGTTCGTGCCCCGGTCTGGGAAGATCCCACATGCCGCGGAGCGGCTAAGCACGTGAGCCATGGCCGCTGAGCCTGCGCGTCCAGAGCCTGTGCTCCGCAGCGGGAGAGGCCACAACAGTGAGAGGCCCGCGTACGGCAAAAAAACAAAACAAAAAAACAAAGCCAATTGGGCTTCCCTGGTCGCGCAGTGGTTAAGAATCTGCCTGCCAATGCAGGGGACACAGGTTCGAGCCCTGGTCCAGGAAGATCCCACATGCCGCAAAGCAACTAAGTCTGTATGCCACAACTACTGAGCCCGCGTGCTGCAACAACTGAAGCCCATGTGTCTAGAGCCCATGCTCTGCAACGAGAAGCCACCGCAATGAGAAGCCCACGCACCGCAACGAAGAGTAACCCCCACTCGCTGCAACTAGAGAAAGCCTGCATGCAGCCATGAAGACCCAACACAGCCAGAAATAAAATAAATAAAATAAATAAGTTAAAATAAATAAATAAATAAAGCAAAGCCAATCAAGGAAATCATGAAAGAGATTGTGGATCTGACCAAAAAAAGGGTGTGAAGGTGAAGGGTTTCAAGATATGGATCTTGGAGAAATTCAAGAGCTAACTGAACACCACACCAGAGGAATTCACGAAGACGACCTGATGGAGACGAGTACTTCCAAACCAGTGCCAGACGACGAGGAAGATGATGTAGAAGTATCAGGGCCTGAAAATAAATTGACATTAGACAATCTAGCAGAAGGGTTCTGACTATTCAAGACTGCTTTTGACTTCTTTTACAACATGGACCCTTGTATGATACAGGCACTGAAGCTAAGGCAGACAGTGGAAGAAGGACTGGTACCATACAGAAACATTTTTAAAGAAATGAAAAAGTAAAGAAGTCGGACAGAAATTATGTATTTCTGTGAAGTTCGACCAAGTGTGCCTGCCTCTCCGGCCTCCCCTTCCACCTCCCCCACCTCTATCACCTCTGCCACCCTGAGACGGCAAGACCTATCCCTACTCTTCCTCCCCCTCCTCAGCCTACTCAACATGAAGACACCAAGGATGAAGACCTTTATGATGATCCACTTCCACTTAGTGAACTGTAAATAATCATCATGACTTACAGTTAATAAACTTATCTGTTGTGTATGCGTGTGTGTCTTTGTGTGAAAATCTAATAACTGTATGGTAAGAACTGTATGAGAATTTTTGTGTCATCATCATCATTGCCTAAGTATTCATCATGTAGAACACTGTGTTCAAGACTTGTATTGAGGTATCCCCTGGCGGTCCAGGGGTTAGGACTCCACGCTTCCACTGCAGGGGGCATGGGTTCGATCCCTGGTCAGGGAACTAAGATCCCACATGATGCGTGGGGCAGCCAAAAAAAAAAAAAAAAAGACTTGTATTGAAGTGGATAGCCCATCCTTACATAGGAATAAGGTGAGTGATATTTAATATAAAATTAATAATGTGTTAGTTTTTTACTGTTTTATAACTTTGCTTTCAAAGAATTATATTATTATATAGTATCTCTCTCCTATTCTCTTAATTGGAGAAACTGCATATCAACCTGTCATCACAGGTAACTCGTATGAATAGAACTGTAATACTGTATGCCATAAAAATAATATGATCATTCATTCATTAGTGTACAGGCTAGGCTATCATGAAGCAATCATACTGCTGCTTTATTATTAACACATGAATTATTATACCTATAAATATGAATTTCTTTTTCACATTATCTTATTTTTTAATTAAGGTAGAGCTGATTTACAATAAGCTTCAGGTGTACAACATAGTGATTCACTCTTTTTAAAGGTTATACTCCATTTACAGTTATAAAATATTGCCTATATTCCTTATGTACAATATATCCTTGTAGCCTATTTTATACGTAGTAGTTTGTACGTCTAAATCCCCTACTTCTATCTTGCCCCTCCCCTTCGCTCTCCTCACTAGTAACCACTAGTTTGTACTCTATATCTGTGAGTCTTTTTAACATATTTTTAGTTATTTAATTTTTGGCTGCATCAAGTCCTAGTTGTGGCTTGATACCTCAGCAGTTGCGGCACGTGGGCTCAAGTCCTCAGTAGTTGCAATGAGCGGGCTTAGTTGCCCCGTGGCATGTGGGATCTTAGTTCCCCAACCAGGGATCAAACTTGAGTCCCCTGCATTGGAAGGCGGGTTCTTAACCACTGGACCACGAGAGAAGTCCCTGTTTCTTTTTTGTTATCTTCACCAGTTTGTCTTCTTTTTTAGATTCCACATATAAGTAATATCATACAGTATTTACCTTTCTCTTTGAATTATTTCACTAAGCATAATACATTCCAAGTCCATTCATGTTGTTGCATATGCAAAACTCCATTCTTTTTAGGGCTGAGTAGTATTCTATTCTATTAAATATATACACATAATATATATAATACATATATCAAAGATATATACATTTATATATCCCACATCTTCTTGATCTAGTCATTTTTGATGGACACTTAAGTTGCTTCTATATCTTGGCTACTGTAAAAAATGCTGCTATGAACACTGAGGTACATGTATCTTTTCAAATTAGTGAGGTTTTTTTGTTTGGATAAATAGCCAGGGGTGGCATTGCTGGATCATATGGTAGTTCTAGTTTTAGTTCTTTTGAGGAACCTCCATATTCTTTTCCACAGTGGCTGCACCAATTTACACTCCCGCTAACAGCATAGGAGAGTTCTCTTTTCTCCACATCCTTGCTATTTGTGGTCTTTTTATTATTTTTTATTTATTTTTATTTTTGGCTGCATTGGGTTTTCTTGCTGCACATGAGCTTTCTCTAATTGCAGCAAACTGGGGCTACTCTTCATTGAGGTGCGCGGGCTTCTCATTGGTAGCTTCTCTTTGTTGTGTAGCACAGGCTCTAGGCGCTCGGGCTTCAGTAGTTGTGGTACATGGGCTCCATAGTTGTGGCTCACGGGCTCTAGAGTGCAGGCTCAGTAGTTGTGGTGCACAGCTTAGCTGCTCCGCAGCATGTGGGATCTTCCCAGACCAGGGCTGGAAGCTGTGTCCCCTGCACTGGCAAGCAGATTCTTAACCACTGCGCCACCAGGGAAATCCTGTGGTCTTTTTGATGATAGCCATTCTGACAGGTGTGAAGGGATATCTCATTATGGTTTTGATTTGCATTTCTCTGATGATTAAAAATGTTGAGCATCTTTTCACATACCTGTTGGCCATCCATAAATACAGTACAATACTGTAAATGTATTTTATTTTCCTTATGATTTTCTCAACAGCATTTTCTTTTCTCTACCCTTAAGTATAAAATACATATAACATAGAAAATATGTGTTGGTCAAGAGTAGGCTATTAGTAATTACGTTTTGGGGGAATCAAAAGTTACACTCAAATTTTTGACTGTGTAGGTGGTCGACACCCCTAAACCCCACAGTTTAAGGGTCAACTGTATCTACAATGGATTAAAGAATAAATTTGTAAAAATCCTTTACGTTTACTACTACTAAAAAAAAAAAACCCTCAATTTGGAGAATGGAAAGGATCAAATCATCACACTGAGAAAGGAGAGATAAAAAGAATCCAGTTTTTTTTTTTTTTTTTTTTGTGGTACGTGGGCCTCTCACTGTTGTGGCCTCTCCCGTTGAGGAGCACAGGCTCTGGGCGCGCAGGCCCAGCGGCCATGGCTCATGGGCCTAGCCGCTCCGCGACATGTGGGATCTTCCCGGACCAGGGCATGAGCCCATGTCCCCTGCATTGGCAGGCGGACTCTCAACCACTGCGCCACC